TTATTACTGAGTTGCAAGATTAAAATAAATTGTTTGTATTTATTATTACTGAGTTGCAAGATTAAAATAAATTGTTTGTATTACTGAGTTGCAAGATTAAAATAAATTGTTTGTATTACTGAGTTGCAAGATTAAAATAAATTGTTTGTATTACTGAGTTGCAAGATTAAAATAAATTGTTTGTATTACTGAGTTGCAAGATTGAAATAAATTGTTTGTATTACTGAGTTGCAAGATTGAAATGAATTGTTTGTATTACTGAGTTGCAAGATTAAAATGAATTGTTTGTATTACTGAGTTGCAAGATTAAAATGAATTATTTGTATTATTACTGATTTTTTTTTATCAACAGCGAAAGTCTCCCCAGCCCATCAAGATGTAAGAGTGGATAACATACTGGTAACATTCCGAACTTCAGGTGGTGGCTCAGGTGTGTGAAATTATTACTTATTTATTGGCTATGATTTTTGCCGGAGAAAAGCTATTAATGATAAAAATACATGCTTTTTTCTATCAGACATTTTAAAATTTCTGCATTAGAGACAGCTTAGCATTTATGAAATGTGTTTAACATCTCACGATAAACATAAAGCCAACGATTCAGTGGTTCTGTATATAACTTTTGAGCATGTGTAACGATAAAAGATATAAAGAAAATTATGTGTTATGACCCCGTTATTAAATGTTACTCAAAACTACTGAGAGCAACATAAGATTTCAAATTCGATGACGAGGAACCCACTTTGAGACTAATAATAGTTGAAGACGGCTTGAATGGGTAATGCCGTCTCCAACCATTATTAACATAAGATTTGTTAGTGAATATAAGTAAAAATATTATATTTTAGAATTTATATTACAACGAGATTAATAACACCCAGGAGTTAAAGTTTTGAATGTGATTGGAAAGCTAGATAATCTTTAGCTACGAAAGAGTAGAAAGATGTGTACATAATTTAAATCTACACATAGCTTTTGGTGGTACAAAAAATCAGCTCTCTTCCCTGTAGATTTTTCTAGAACTTCACTGTTCTCTAGCTGATGATAAAATAAAAACAGATCCTCCATTTTTATTAAGATTAATGTCCGTCAGCATTGTAGTCTGAGTGGTATTATTCCTGAGACAACTCTCCACCATAATTAGAGTTAAGGTGAAAGAACACACTGTCCGATGGGATTTTTATGTTCTAACCAGAGTTAAATCAGATTCTGTGGTCTTACTAATATATTATTCTTAATATGTCCACCGTTCTAACTATAGCATTATTCTAGAGAAGTTTATCTTTCGATCCTGGAAGAACGCTTTGGTCTAAGTGAGAAATAGCTTTGTGTTTTAGTACATATTAACTTGAAATGACACTGTAGTCCTAGTAATGCTCATTTGGGAAAATACTGTAATGTAAGAGATGTAAATATAAAAGGATATATTAAGAGTTAGCTAATCCGTAGTTAGGTTCCTGCCAAATTTAAACATGGCTACTGTTTTTCTTCTTTTCAGTTTGTAGTTCTGGTGGTATCAGCTATCCTCATGGTTTCACGTGGCATCCTGTTATTGGCCCTTTGGGACAAATGGACTGCGTACTTTGTAAATGTCAGGTAAGTTGGGACTATTTCAAGTACCATTTTTACAAGCGGCATGAAGACGTTATTGTTTTTTATTTTAGAAAAGCTTAGTAATATTGCTACTTTTTTTTCTTTTCTTTCCGTGTTCCTGTTATTGCGATAGTTGTAAAAACAAGTTAATGGTGATATGTTCTAACTTTTTCTGTTGTTGGGGTGTTTCTTTTTATTATTCGGTAAAAATAATGCAAAGTGAAATCCATTTGATGAATATGGACCATTTATTACCGCTTACAACGCACTAGTTCGACAAGCGGTGTTATTTGATAGGTCTAACTCACAAGTGAAAGTAGATAACTACTTACTTGCAACTCTACTTTGGAACACAAATACAAAATTTACAACTCTAACTAAACTCACTAAATGGCTAAAACACCTCTAGCATGTTCTTCACACACTGCATTTCTCTCTCGCGCGTGCATTCTAGTCTAACTTTACATTATTTAAAACTATTTGAGGCACTCGCGAAATTGCTAAGTGTCGCATCCTCATTATAAACCTAGAGCTCTCTCTAACAAACGATAGAAAACTTCTAAATTGAGTACAATAGAAACTAACTCAAAACAATACATCGTATATTGAGCACAAGTTTAAAATAATTACTATATAACTGACTTTTCTTTGCTTCATAATTATTTAGAACACGAACTTCTTAATGCCTGATAAGTAGTAATATAAATCTAATTATGGGGACGTCATAGTCCTTTCCGGGTAACAATTCATATTTAATTATAATTTATTTGTGCCGTCGTCAGTATTTTTTATTTTATTTTTATTCGTGACCGGATGTAATATATAGCATTTAAGCTTTACTCTAACGTTATGTGTATATCTGATTATGCTACGTGAACATGGAAAAAAATGTTTAAATTATTTTCTTCAACTATTATGTTAACATATTAGCCGCTCTAGTAATGTTTTTATTTGAGATGCTTGTATTACATTTATAATGAACAAACTATCAAGTCAGCCATAATATACATATTTATGTTTTATTAATACCTATTATTCGATGACGAGGAATCCACTTTGAGACTAATAATGGTT